TGGGGGAAGCATATAGGAAGAATAAACACCACTTAAATATCAAGATATAGTAAGAGCACCACTTAAGATATAGCCCGTAGAGGGAGGAGATGCCGATGGCGTTCCAGAAAGACATGATAGAAAAAATAAACCTTAAACACCAACAAAGGTAAATATTTATTCCTAAATAACTAGAAGTGAGCCCATTCTTAAAAAGAAAACACTCCGGCTGGCCCTCAGAAACTTCGGACCAAACCAGAACAGGTAAATAAGACATTCCACATCGTTATCTTAGTGAAATAAGGCAAGATCCATAAAAGCCACCAATATGCAAAGGCAAATTCAAATCTATGGATCGAGAGCTAGACAAATGTGATAGAAAAATCCAAAAATTTTACATGCCAAATTTGAAGTTTAGATGATAACATTAAGAAAGAATGAATTTATTTGATAAAAAAATAAAAACGATATTTTCACAAAAAGAAGACCTGATCGAGAATAAAACAGAAAACAAAATCAAGTGTCTATAATAAAAAAATGTTGAGTATGAATCCACAAAATTAAAAAAACAATTGCATTGTTCACGGATTTATATGGAGAGATCAGTCCTAGAAACTCCATAATAAAACTGAATAGTTTAAAGATGAAGAGAGCTCGCAATGAAAGTGTAAGAAACATGAGAATGAAACATGAGAATGTATGAAGATCATCATAAAGCCTTTTGAGCAGAGGCAATGAGCCCATCACATTTGATCAACCGAGGACTACTATTCGTTCTCAACTTTGAGCTTTAGAAACACGTATAGAGACATGCAAGGTGGAATCTTTGCCACACTTAAGAATTTATAGCTACCTATCTTATATTTATGTGATCACATTACTAAAGGAAAGCTTAACCCAAAATCTAAAGAGCGCTAATTCATTGGATATATGATAGATTTGAGTTCTATTAAATATTTTGGATACTAGGATAAAAGAATTACAGTTAGTAGAAAATAATAGTTGTGAACTTGCGCTATACAAAGACAGATCAAGCTCTACGATAAAAGAAAACTTCACATCAAAGCAAGTTAAATTAAAGCAAAAATCCAGAACGATCACGAGAAACTTAAGAGCAACCAATACTCACTTGAACTAAATCATAAGACCACAAAGAGCACACAAGTCAACTATATGTCATTCTCCTTCTCTTATTACATGTTACTTGCATATTTAGTAGAGCCTAAATGCCATGAAAAAATATCACACCTGTAAAGAATTATATTAAGTGAAAAATTGCCCTAAAAAAAGAGAGAGAAATAATCTTATTAAATACTCACCAAGTTACTAAAAGATAAGGTCTTAAGAAAATGGATATACAAAATGAAGAAAGAACGGACAAGTAAGAGAAGCAAGGCAAAACTTGTTATAAAGAATTTTCAATAGAAAGAAGACATATACTTTACAAAGATATTAGCTCTTGTAGTTAAACTAACTTTAAAAAGAGGATCTAAGCCTTAAATAAATAAAAAATGTTAAAACAACAGCCCTCCATAATAGCCTAAAGGAAGAAGTATAAATAGCATAACCCAACGGCTTTGTTCAACCTATAAAAAAAAATCTTATGTGCTGCTTAAACAAAGCACAGTAAAAAGGTGTTAGAAATGTTTAGTATGACAAAAGCAAAGACCATAACTATGCACCCACTAGAAACTTCAAATTGTTCCAAAAAATTGAAGATAAAAGAAGCACAAGATGAAGGTTTTTGATTCCTCAACTATTATTAAATCTCTGATGTATACAATAATTTGCCCAAGACCATAAATTACAAAAACGTGGAAATAATTAACAAGTACATGTGCAATGAAGAAAAACTATACTAGAAGTTAAGATGTAGACATTGTGCTATTTAAAAAATACAAACAATTCTCTTAGGTTTAAAAGAATTGACTTAAATTTATGGAACTATAATGGTTTGGCTCAAGGACAATGCCTAAATGCAAAAAGTACAACCCAATAAATCTACACCGCAGATGATACTAATATTAATTGGATCTCACAACTTTATAAAATAGTAGCACTAACAATGAGATGACTTGGCTCAAAAGCTTCCTCATAGAACTTAAATGGTCACAAAAAGATATTGCACTCTTTTGTGAGAGCTAGAGTGCGCTAATCCAAGGTAACATACATAAAATCAAGTGCTACAGCATTTGTAATTTGCTTGAAGTTGGTGATCTAATGATTGTTAAAATCCTAATAATATGCTCATGGAAGTGTTACTGATAAAAATTAAGGTTTCATGAAACATTAGTTACTCTTCATGAAGAATAATTAGGAGATTGCACAAGAAGAGGTAGTAAAACACTAACCACTATTATAAAAAACAACGGTCTATAAATAAGATATTTTTAAAATTATAGAATCTAGACTATCACCAATTAAATCTTTATGAAATATGATTGAGATATCCTATATGTTGCAAATAATGTATAGAAATTTTTATAGATGGTTAATTCTTGCGAGACTTTTTGTTCAAGTTAAAGAAAAGAAAAAATTGTTGATTATTTTGTCTCCAAAATAATGCCTTTTGTCATTATAAAAGAGACTAAGAAAATAAAAAACATTTGACATCACAAAACCACAACCAAATAGTAGAAAATATCGAGAGAAGGGAGAGAGGTAGTCAGCTGAGAGAGAAGAGAAGATTTTTCAAGTGCTTACAAGAGGGATAATTTCTACTTCTCAAGAAGAAACAGTTGTTAATTTTTGCTCCATCAAGGATTGAAACTTCAAGTCATAACAGACAGAAACTTTTGTATCTAAGAGAAAAAGAGAGTAATAGCAATAGAAACATCTTTTATACATTTAACATTTACCTAAATAGCAAGTGAAAAAATTCTCAGAAATTGACATAAGAAAATTGGTATCTCCATCCTAATCTTTAACTTTGTACAAAGAGAAATCCTTCGTATATTTAACGTTTGCGCAATTGTTCATATAGGTTGATACCACTGAACCAAATAAGCTTGTATCTTATATTTATAATATCTACTGTGTTTTTCTCTCATTTTCATTAATTTTTGTTTAAAATTTTGTCACTATTTAATAGTAATGTTTTCCCTAGAACATAAAAAACAAGCCACTTTGCTTATACTTGGACTAAAAAAAAATGTTTTTTACCATAACAGCATAAAAATTATGATCGTGGTTGTGGTTGCAAAGACCATTGAACGGGAATCTTCCTTTTATTAAAATGAGGCCAAATTTTTTATTCTACTGTAATTTAGTTTTAAAACCATAAACTATGAGTTAAGTCAATATAAAGCAAATGGGGAGCTATCACAGTCAATCACAAAATTACTAATTTTTAGTGGGTTTTAAGAACCTTAAACAGCAACCTAACCAGCCCTCTAAAAAGTTATATTATATGAGCTGTAATCAACAAGTACTCACAAACAATGATGCCTTATTTAAATAGTTTTACAAAGTCTTCATATGTTAAATTATGAAGTAATTAATTGATGATAGTTGAAACAACCAGAAAGAATTTTTTTGTAGTGTCAAGTTATGAAGTAAAGAAAAAAAATCTAGTCTAAATTTTAAGCAATTTTAAGTGAGCTGTCCACAAGATTTCAAAATTTCCTGAGAAGTTATTGATGTAGAATAATTAAGGGAAAGTGAAATGGAGAAGGAAATAGATAAAATAAAATACAAAAGTATGATCCCACCAGTTCTCTTCTTCAAGTTTCATTGTTGGATTCAAAGGACTCCACGTTTATGACAAAGTTAACTTTGTCTCATTATCATCATTGAATTTTCTTAATCAAGTTGGGACCTCATTATAAAAAAAAATCAATAGTAAATGTCTAAAATAACTATAACAAAAATAAAATAGTGTAATCAATCACCTCTACTCTAACACCAGCAATCATATCATTAAAGCAAAAGTTAGGAGCGCAATTCATCAAAAATTTATTAAACACAGATGATACTTAAAACGAGTTGATGGATGGTAGATCCTACAAGATGCACTAGAAATCTCATTTAGAAGGTTGGAAGTAACTCTGAAAGGATCAGAATTGGGGCTCCCTTGGCAAACAGAAAGTCCACTAGCATAGGCATAAACACAAATAATTGGAACATAAAAAACACTTCCACTGGTGACAGATCCTCAAAATATATCATGTGCGCACACAATAGAACAGAACATTATAATAATTTGATAAGATATTAATGCTTTGGCAAGTAGTTCATTGTAGGTAGATCATAAAAAAGCATATAGTAAGAATATGACAAAATATATCTTTCTTCACTGTAACCACAAGCACTATCAAGAGGAGAGCTACGCCTATAAAATCATAATCAAGATAATGAGCAATGCAATAAAATATGGTAAACTCATTATTTTAATAAACAAAGTCTCAGGAGAATTACATAAATGCAACCATAAAATCACCCTTTTCTTCATCTGTCCCTCATACCAAGTATTACATAGTGATTGCCTAAGTCACTACTTGCACAATTGGATGCACGCTTATCCATGCAACAGCCTCAGCTGATCAACTAATTTTCATTCAAAATTAATAGATTACAATATTCCAATTCTCTAGAAGATTAGTATCTTCATGTAAACCAATCAATTTCTTCACTTGAACTTCAATGTATGTCTGAGTTCCTTAAAATCAAAATATCCTTCAGCTCCAAAGATATCAATTCTCGAATTGTTTGCCCCATCATTCCTTCAAAAGAGAGGTTGTCATTGGAATTGCCATTTCTGTCACGCATGCATGCAGCTTCCAAAGCCTAACTGGCTACTGCCTTGAAAAAATGCCAATCAAACTATTGTTGAATGTTGTTGAAAACTTTCAATAACTGAACAATGGTTGCTAGCCACATGTTCTCACAATTATAAGACTAACTAACCTAAAAATTAAAGATTCCCACAACTTTTGAACAAAGTTTTCTTGACATTGCTTCAATTAGCATCAAGTATTTACAGTGTTTTGTTAAAAAAAAAAGCAAATTGAGAGAAAGCATACATCTTTCTTTGATACTGTTTATCAAGTCTTCTATCCAATTCCTGTCTTGCTTCAGCTTGTTTCTCAAGGCGGCGCATGGCAAAAGATGAGTTCTCGCTCTCAATTTTCTGAGACAACTCCAAAGAAGACAACTTGCTCCTAAGTTGCTCCTATAGTTAAAAACAAAAGAGCAATTGTGTTAGCCATATACACGCAACCAATCCATGCACCATGCATATGCCATTGAAATGAAAGAAACTGGAACAATAAAAAACACCATTATCAATTACTTACCAAGGTGATTTTTTGCATAAAACAGTTATGCATGGCGATAAAGTAACTTACTGATGAATAATATCATTACGGTGGCCATATGTTAGCAAAACAGTCCAAAGTAAAGGAATAGTTTTCAATAACTGAAGCGGTGTGTATCTTTGGTTGTACTTGGACAAAACGTCTTTTTTGTTTTTGAGCTTGATAATTATTAGTAGTTCTAACTGCTAAAAGAACTGAAGGTCACGGTTACTCGTCTTAATTGTCAAGTACCCAAAAAAGAAAGAGCATTCAGAGGTGCATGATATTCATGGGGTAGTATCTTTTTTTATATGCTGTGATGCCTAATAGAGATGCTATTACTTTATTGAGGCGTAAGATTTTGTTGAAAACATATATAAGTAATCCATAAGCAAGCATAGCTATATAATGAAACGAGAAGCAAGTCCCTATGTTATTAAACGGCACATGAGCGAACATGAATTCACATATAGCCCACACATATAAGCATTTATGCATGCATACTAATTCATGAGTCTAATAAACATGAACATGCATATGCAAATGGATAAATCTAAATATCTGGGCACAATAAACATCATTCATAAAGAATATTACCAATAAATCACAAAATAAATTTTATAATTACAGGTGAAAAAACAAGAAATCTATTTTTTTTTTAACTTGTATGTGTCCCTAATCATCTTCAAAAAATTTTAGTAAAATATTATTTTCATTTGACAAGGGTAATTAATCAAGGAACTTTTAGCAATATGCATGACTTAGGAGCACAAAATTTTCAGAGACGTGCCAACTAAATGTGCCTAGAAAATATCAAGGTACAATACCAAAAATAATTCATTTATTAAGGATGAAGCGAAAAGAAATTCGAGAAGCAACATAAATAAACTTAGTATGGCCAATGACAGAATAACCAAAGCTGAGAAAAACAAGTTCCACAGAAGCTAAAATGGCAGAATCAATCAATTTTTCTGAATTATCAAACGCACCTTAACCATAAGTTGATGATCACTTTCAAGCTCAAAAAGTGCCCCTTCTTCTATGCTTTTCTTTTGCATGAGACGAGATGGAGTCGATTTCTCATGCATTTCATCATCAAATTCATCAGACTCACTAAAATATATAAGATAGAGAAAAACTTAAAAAATGCATATACATACAAAAACACACAAACATGCTAGCATATACACAAATATAACTTTCGTAATATGTTTGCATGCATGGGATAATCCAAACATCTTTCTTAATGTATTCAATGTTTAGAAAGGACTCAGGGCATACCTAAAGTAATCATCAGGGAAAGCAAATCTTGTTCCAGTAATTAGCCTTTGATCAGTACTTTCATCCTCACTTTCTGATTCGTAGACATCATCATCAGTAATGCGCATAACAAAAGGTTTATTACTCCCATTAGCCATTTCTTTCATTTTAGACCTGAAATAAAGCTAAATCATATATTGTAAGCTAGGTCAAAAAATACAATAACAAGCAAAGGGACTGCAAATTAATAGTTGGGACATTCATAAGTCAAAACGGACTTCTTCGGAGGAGATGAAACTGAAATACGAGCTCCATGTTGCAGCTCCAAGGAATTCAGCTCTGATAAAAGATCATCCAAAGTCCAAACAGGATCTGGATCAGCTGAAGTTACTATAGCCACATTCTTTGGGCATCGGATTTCTAATTTAACATATCCCCTGCAAGAAAAAAGTAGTAGGTAATTATGAAACCGATGAAAGTAGATGATAATAAAATTATTCTCAAGGAACAGAGATGTGCGGCTTACATTGCTGAATTGTGACTTCAATGACTATGGTTCTGTCACCGTATTTATCTAAGTTTTTTCTCCCTCTTTCTAACCTGCAATGACATGACAGGAGCTAGAAATGCGCTGAAAACAGCAATAAAAAAAAACAAAATTATAATTGTTAGCACATATCAAATTTACAAGAATCTCATAAGACATTTATAACACAAAATGATACTCATGTAAAAGAATCCCCACAGAATCATCCCAAACGTTCACATCCTAGCACATTAACATTTCAGAGTCATCAGCATTATTGAAATAACCTATAAAGCACCGCATTCCCACGTTTACCCCTCTAAATCTCGTCTCACTTATGCTCATTCCTCGCAGCTTAAACAAGCAAGGGGGAAAAAAAACTTTTTGCGAAAAAACAATCGGTTGCCAGCTAGGTTGCGGGATTTGGTAAACAGCAGTAACTAAATTCAGCTTCTCCTAAGTATTGCCTTAAATCCAGGATGTAGTAAACCCCTTTGGAAGGTGGATTTAAGGGATTTGCTCAAAAATGAAGTGCGCGAAAGAGGGTGGGGATGTAGACTTACCTGCATTGCGGAGCGGACAGGGGAGAAAGACGTGAATTTTGGGATTTTTGGAGGTTTTCGTGCACCGCAATACCGTCGTTGCCTGGCGAGGGATTGGGGCAGGAGCGGGGAAGGCTGAAGGTCGGCGAGGGATTCCGGCAGCAAATGAGAGGGCGGCGATGGGGAACCGATGTTGCGTTGAGGTGTTAATATAATTTTAATTACACGAATTTTAGTCAATTTAATTGATTACTAATTACTATTTAAATAGTATGTTAATCTACATTATTTATAATTTGATAAATTTATCTATAATTAATATAATCTTGACAGACTAATTCATAATTAGTAGAATTTAAATTATAACTTAGTATTTAAATAGTTTAATAAAATTTACTAAATTTTAGTACATTAGTAAATAATTTATCGATAAATAATTAATGAATATTAAAATATTGAATAATGAATAATTTAGAAAATTCTCATAAATCATTATTTGTAAATAATTAATTACTTATCAATATAAATATAAATATTAAAATTTTTTATTTAATTTATTTAATCTTAACAATTGCATTATTGACATGTGGTGTTAAATTTATAATTTAAATCTTTTAAAATTAATTGACAATTTTTTTCTTGATTTAACTGAATTTAACATCTTTTATACCAAACAATTTTTAGATTTAATCATCTCAAAATTTACTAAATAAAAATTTATAAGATTTACTAAATTCTATAAAATTAAATTTTACTTATAGCCAATCAATTTATGTTAAAAAAATAAATTGTACACATTACTAAATCTCATCTCTCGCTAAAAAGTTTAACACGATTAAGTGAAATTTTTTAGTAGTCAAATTTTAATAACTTAAAGGTTTTCATACCTCTTTCGAACTCTTTTTTCTCTATCACATGGCTTTTATCTAGGGTTGTCAAAATGACTCGTTGTTCGCGAACAACTCATGTTCGACATCGCTAAGCAAGTGAGTCAAACACGAGTAATTCTTTTGAGCTTGATTTATAAATGAGCCAAACACGAAAAAAAATTTATTCATTCGTGTTACACTCATTTGGGCTCAAAATAAAAATTATATATATATATATATATATATGAGGATTTTTTTAAATAATCTAATAAAAATTTATTATAATTAAAAGAAAAGAAAAGAAAATATAATTATATTAACTAGAAAAATAGCCCTAAAAGCTAAAATCGTCCCTTTATTGCCTTTGCCTCTCACCCTCGGTAGTACCGAGTCGGTACTATAAAATCCTAAAGCTAAACCGCTAAAGCTCTTAAACCCTAATCCTATGTATCGTAACCTTTTTGTTTGATCACCTCCTTCCTTTTGTCTCAAGCAAAGCTACAAAGCATGATATTCTGCGAAGGTCTAGCTAGCCGAAAGCCCAAACCCTCAGCCTCGAAACTCGAAAGAAAGCCCAAAATCCCTAACGCTTGTCTTCTCTCTCGTTTAGCTACATATTTCATTTGGTTTCGTGCCTTATTTCAATCGTGAGAATCGAATGAGCCAAAGTCAAAAATCCTTAGGGCGTGTCTTTTCTGGTTCTCCTACCTTGTTTCTTTTTTTTTCTGATATATTTTTCAATTCTTCCTGTTGTTGAGAGTTGCATGCCATAGGGTTTTTGGAAACTAATATCTTTGTTAGTTTTTTTTTTAGATAATTAAGGGGAGGTCTATTCCTATAGTAGTGATCCATCTAAGCATGTTGTTGCTTTGAAGCAGGATCTTTTAGTTCAATGTTTGCATTGGTAAAAGAAATTTTATCATTATTACTTTTCCTATTTTTCACAGTCTTGCTTCCATATTTTCATTATTATTATTTGGAAAAAAAAATCTATAAACTTTTTTTGTAATTAAGGAAATGTGTATTTACTCTTCTTATGGAGACATGGCGTTATGCTAGGCATTATCTGTTTCTTTTTCCTACATTATTTTATGCTCATAATGATTTTTGCTTGTTGACTATGGAAGTGTGTAGTTTTAAATGTTTGTGTTCTTTCATTGGAGGAGATAGTATGCGATTTATGAAATATATTGAATACTTCACCTAACATGTTGAGATGGCTATCATGATGAGGTTTGCGGTTCCAATTGCAAAATTATTTTGTAGGTCAATGATACACCAAAATAATATGTCATTTTAAGTATATATTTTAGGCTTAATTTTGGTGATATTGCACTTTAATGAAGGGTTTTTCATGTTTTTATTGCAAGTATTTCAATTTTAGGCATTTTGAGCAAATGTAGCAAAAATGATGAAATTTGGAGCCAAAATAGCGAATTTTCAAATTTTGGCGCAAGATGCGCTAGATTGGCACATGATGCCCCAGATTAGCGCCAGATGCACTAAAACCCAGAATTGCGTGGTCTTCAACAAACAGACGCATGATATGCCAGATTGGCGTCACATGCGCCATTTGAGAGAGAGTTGGCGCATGATGCGCCAGATTGGCATCAGATGCGTTAGGGATGACTTTTTGCGAATTAAGGGGGTTCGAGACAAATTTTGCGCGAATTTTTAAAGACGCTTGTTCTAAACACCCCTTGGAGTGATTTAATGCTTCTAGACACCTAGACACTTTGAAAGGTTCTTACACTTTGAAAGGTTCTTTTATGAAGGGATATATCTCTTGGATCAATGGACATATTTTTTGAATTCAAAAGAGTTGGCTTTTAGACAAAATTTTGAGGGGAATTTTAAATTCTTTTTGAGAGTGGCGGCCTTTGATAAAGGAGAGGGAAGTCTGGGAATTAAAAAAGGAGGAGAGCTTTTGGACATGAGTTGGTGTGGCGTGAAGGCACAAGGAGAGTTAGAGAGAAAAAGTCAAGGGCTTGAAGATTTTCTTCAAGGATTGTAAGAGGAGAGGGAATGTGAGAGATTTCTTCTTCATTACACTTCTAAGAGAGAATTGAGAGTGCTTGTAAGAAGAGAAAGGCTTGGAGAGTACTTCTAGGGAATTTCTTGGGAAGAATTGTGAGATAAGCTATGTCTTTTATTTCTTTTTGTTTTGTAAACTTATTTTTATATATGAAATTCGTGTTTTATCGTATCCTTCTCATGAATTCTGAGTAGTCTTCTTTAACCTTCTCCTACTTTGAGATATAGTTTTGTGAAGAATTAATTTTGTTTTATATGGTTTTAAATGTCAATAATTTGTGATGATTTGAACTTCGATCTTCATTTACTTTTTGATATAGCCAATTGAATTATTTAAATGTGTTGAGAAACATATGTTCCGAAAGGGCTTTGATTTCTACAACATGGGGATAATCCCATTTGATTTCTTAGGAAAGTGTTTTACCTATGGAGTTGAGTGCAAATAAAGAGGGAAATATACTTTGTTGGATGCAGAATTGGAGATTTTAAGGTGACAGATTAAAATTTCCAATGTGGTCCAGTTGATTGGAAACTGATGCAAGATTGTTAAAGATTGTTAGCCCTCAAGTGAGGGAGAAGTGAGAGCGATGGAGTGACAGTCGGTATCCTCCCAACCTAACCACACAATTAGGGACCAAATTCTGGATTAGTCAATGTTCTTTATGCAATCGAAAGAGGATAAAGAATAGGATAACTCTTATTTGACACAAAATAGTTTTTATATATATTTTCAAATGATTTTAATTTCTTTACAATCCATATATTAATTATAAAAGGGAAGGATGGTAAAGGGGAATGATGCTTTATTAAATTTGAACTTTCCGTCACAAAAACTTAGTTTAATTTTTGTAAGTTTACTTTTGAAAGTTTAGCATCTAGTTTAGTTAACTTTTGTCTTTCAATTGCATTTTAATCAGCATTTACTTGTTACTTAATATTCAAACTTCACACTTTACGTTTTGTGTAGTTTTAAGAAATGTACTTTACATTATAATCATATGAACTTATTTATAGGCATTTCTAACTTCCCTATGGGATCGATATCTAGGACTTCATTAAAGGCATTTATTATTTGAGCGATACACATACTTGCATTATTTTTAAAGGGGTTTTAACAATTTAAAGATTTTTAAAAGATAAAACTATTTTAACTAAGGTTATTTGGTTGGGATTAGTTTGCATATTTGTTATTTCATCTGTCGTGTGTATTTTGTAATATTGAAAAATATTTGCAAAATTAACACACTAAATCCACCCGCATCAAAAACTTGATGCAAGATTGTTAGCTCTCAGGTGAGGGAGAAGTGGGAGCTCTGTAGTGGGAGGCGGGTAGTGGCAGCCGATATTCTCCAGGTTTAACCACGGAATTATGGACTAAATTCTGGATTAGTCAATGTTCTTTATGCACTCGAAACAGGGTCAAGAATAAGATTGCTCCAATTTGGCACAAAACAATTTATATATATATAAAATCATTTGAATATATATATATATATATTCAAATGATTTTAGTTTCTTCACAATCCATTTACTCATTGTAAAGGGGAAGCATGTTTTATTAAATTTGAACTTCCGTCACAAAAACTTACTTTAATTTTCGTAAATTTACTTTTGAAAGTTTAGCATCTAGTTTAGTTAACTTTGTCTTTCAACTGCATTTTAATTAGCATTCACTTATTACTTAATATTCAAACTTTGCACTTTACTTTTTATGGAGTTTTAAAAATTTTACTTTAAATTATAAACTTAACAACATTATTATAGGGATTTCTAACTTCCCTATGAGATCGATATCTAGGACTTCATTAGAGTTCTTTATTACTTGAGCAATATATATACTGACGTTATTTTTAAAGGGGATTCGACAGTTTAAAGTTTTTTAAAAGATAAAACTATTTTAATTGAAGTTATTTTATTGGGATTAATTTGCATACTTGTTATTATATATGTCGTGTGTATTTTGTAATATTGAAAAATATTTACAAAATTAACACACTAAATCCACCCGCATTAAGTTTTTGGCATCATTGTCATGGAAGAAATGAAAATTAGTAGTAAGTTATTTTATAATTTCTATTATTTTACCTTTTTAAAAAAAATTAAAAAAAAGAGTGTTTATAGTTTAGTTTGAATATTTTCTTATTTAACTGTGTTTGTTTATTTTAAAATTACTTGTTGTGTTTGCTTATGCGTAGTGTAAGATTTGAAAATTTAGTACCTTATGATTCTGAGTTAGAAAGAACAATTAGAAAAATTTTAAAACAACAAAATGAGATAGTCCATATTAGCAA